ATATACTCATAAGTGAAATAAACCAGACACACGTGTAAATATCATAGTTTCCCTAGTGTAAGAACTCAAAAGAAGACATACAAATAGAAAGATATAATACAATTAAAAGGAAAGCAAGAACTTGAGGACTAGACAATGAAGAGAGAGCAAGGAGAAGAGCTAGGAAACATGACAAAGGCAAGCCATACAGTTACATGTAGAAGATGGGTAAGGCAATGATCTTGAGAATCTTCAGAAGATTTTTTAATCTAGCAGTTAATTGGAAGGATTCTCACCTTGACTAACTAAATATACTAACAACTGTGAACTAAGCAACTGCACTGAAGATAGCAATTTGTAATAGTAGGTTCATGCTTGGAGTGCCTGCCATTCTGGTCTTCTGAATATGTGCTGCTTGTCATGACATGCCAATTGCTGCCGTGCTGTCTCTCAGGTAGATGACTGTTTAAAAAGGAAGCGGGTGGTGAATGAAGGCAGGAGACAGGAAAAGGAATGTTGCTGGACTGTCCCGCTACAATGTTGTTTATGTTAGATTTCTGGACTTATGTGTAAACATACACAATTCTTTATTCCTATTTTTTAAATATATTTTAATTTTTTTTGTCATTTTCTGTAGGGACTTAAAGTTTAACATATTAATACTTTATGAAAAATACCTGTTCCATGTTATGCCTAAGATGTTTGATATTCAGACAGATAGTGAGGTTAAGCTCAACAGACTAGGTTATATGGTAATATCAATAAGCTTCTCTTCTGGAGGGCTAACAAACTAAGTTTACAGACCAAAAATTAGAGAAAAAGGAGGGCCTCAAGGAAAGCCATCATTTTGGCCCTAGCCTTCCAAGGTCAATTAAGACTCAGGATATATGAGAACTTGTACTGTAATATCATGTAACTCAGTGTGTCCCAAATTTTCTGATCAAGGCCCCTGAGATTATGGGGCCAAAGAGGAAAGTGATCGATGAAGTAGAGTGTGCCTAAGGAGAGTCACACGTAGAGAAAACATTCTCTCAGGCTTTCACAGAGAGCACATTGGCCAAAGAATGGCCGTGACTCATCCACATGGCTGATACTGACAAAGGATCTACAGTCTGAGGTACAAGGCCTCAGGATAAATTTGAGGGATTTGACTGACCTTATCAAATGCAAAAGCTACAATTCTTGTTACATAGGTCTTGCTCTATCTTGGTCTTAACCATCCAGCAGAAAAGTATAAAAAGGAAGTATAAGAAGTAAAGCCAATGTCAACAACTTCTGACATTGCCAGTCAAGTGGAAGACCCAATACTATTATGGATTACTGGACTATTCTGGAATATTTTGCTGAGTTCACACACCTATAATATTTAAATGATGGAACTAAATAAAAAAAAGGGGATACAGATGAGCGACCATTTTGTATCTGTGTATTCAAAATGGTTAGGATAGATATATAGCTACATTCTCTTAATTCAAGGAATAGAGGGATTTGTTCTAATAGTGTTGTAATTTGATTTAAAACTGTCTCATTGCTATTTATTTCTCAATAAAATTATGGAAAAAAAAAAGACAAACTAGAAGGCTTCATAGTTAAGTGGATGCAACTTGAGGCTATACTCATAAGTAAAATAAACCAGGCCCCCATATGTAAATATCATATTGTGTCCCTAGTATAAGAATCCAAAAGAAGGGGCTGGTGAGATGGCTCAGTGGTCTAAAGCACCTACTTAGAACAAGCTTAGCAAAGCACAGGGACGGTGGTTCAATCCCCCAGCACCATATGCTAGTCAGTCCTGCCCCCTGGTGGGCTGAGCTGCCCCCCCCCCCGCACAAATAAATTTTAAAAAAAAGAATCCAAAAGAAGAAATAAATCCTAGAAAGTGTTAACAGATACAGTTAAATGGAAACAAAAGGAACTTAATCAACAAAGAGGAGAGAAAGGAGAAAAGGTAGGAAAAATGGTAGGGACAAAACCATGCAAGTGTATATACACAAGATGAATGAGGTGATTGTAGAATTTTCATCAGTTTTATGAAAATAGAAGTTAATGCATAGAATTCTCACTTTGACCAAGGCTGTATGCAGATATCTGTGAACTAAGCAGCTACAGTGAGGACAGCAATGTGTAATACAAAAACTATGCTTGAAATACCTGTCATCTTGGTCTTCTAAATGTGTACTATTTCTAATGCCATGTCAATTATTACTATACTCTCTTTAAAGTAAATTTTATTAGAAAAAGTTAATGAGAGACAAGAACAAAAATTTAAGATTTTTTGAAAGCATGTGGTAATATTCAATCATATGTCCCATCTTGCATAATTATATCTGTTAATCTGAGCAACAGATTTAATGTTAAAAATAGATAATATTCATTGCTAATCGTCCATTGTTGTTCTGAAAATCTGTAATATATAGTTGTATGTTAAAAAAAAACACCAAACAGAAACAAGCAAGCAAGCAAACAAACAGAAAAACCCTAAAACTATAGAGATTCCATTCACCTGAGATCCTGTCTCAAAAAAAGAACCCTCCCCAACAAAACATCGTGGAAATGGCCCAGATGCCCATCAATGGATGAACAGATAAAAAGTGTGACATATATACATATATAATGGAGTACCACACTGTCATAAAGAATGATAAATTTGAGACATTGTCAAGTAAACGGATGCACCTTGAGAACATAATTTTAAGTGAAATAAATCAGACACATATGTTTAAATATCAAATTGTTTCTCATTTGAGAAACCCAAAGGGTAAATAAGGAGCAAAATGGATGATAAATATTGGGAAGTATGAAGAAAATGTTCAAATGGGAAAGGGAACAAGAGAGAAGAAAGGAGTAAGGGAAAGGAGGGAACAGGGACAAAAAGAGAAAAGAAAAAATAGAAACAGTTTTATAAAGGGAGAGGGGAAGAAGATTTAAAGAAAGGAAGGGAAATGGGGAAAATCTGATATATTATCAAAGTGTACCAAGGGCCAGCCAGACAGCTCAGTGGATTAAAGTGCCTGCTCAGGCAGATTGCAGCAGCAGGGATTCGATCCCTGGCGTGCCATGCCAGCCCCACTCTCAGGGTACACTGAGACAAGCAAATGAGACTGGGTGTGATGGCGCGCACTTGTAATCCCAGTGCTTGGGAGACTGAACACAGGAGGATCACTACGAGTCTGATCTACGTAGTGAGATCCTGTAGTAAATACAAAAAACTGTACCAATACAATTAATTTTTAAAAAGAATAGATCTCATGTTGTATTCTTACTACAGTAAAAATAAAAAAAAAAGAAAGAAAGAAAGAATTAAAAGAAAAAATTTAAGAATACATATCAGGGCTGGCCAAATAGCTCAGTGGATTAAAATGCCTGCAAGCAGGTACACGCGCCGGGAGTTCAATCCCCGGGCCTGCCATGCCGGACCCACCCGCAGGGAGCACTGAGCCAGCGATCGAGACTGGGTGTTGGTGGAGCATACCCCAGCACGTGGGAGGCTATAAACAGGAGACTCACTATGAGTCCGATATAGTAGTGAGACCCTGAACACCTTGTAGACCCTTCCAGAAAAATACAAAAAAAGAAAAGAAAAAGGGAAAAAAAAAGAATACATATCAATTTGTCAACACTGAAAACACTAGTTGAGAATGAACATCTCCATCCTTACTTCCACTCTTAAGAAGACGCTTTTCCTCTTCCTTCAGTTTGTTCTGCATTAGGCGGAGAGTATTTTCAGCTTCCTGGGGAAGAAAACCAGATTCAGAGGAATGACTCTTTGGTAGATGATGCTATCACTCTTCACCACTGTGCACATATTGCTACAGAACAAGAAAACCGCTCAACCAAAGGCTGCGGAACAAGTCCTGCTGCCCCCCTATGTGCTACAGAACAAGAAAACTGCTCAACCAAAGGCTGCGGAACAAGTCCTGCTGCCCCTCAACCTGGCGTCCTTCCTCTCGGCAGTCACCCAGCAGACAGCCCGGCAGCCTGGTGGAAAGAGCCCTCAGAAGGATGTACCTGCCGCTCACCCTCGCTCCTCCCACCACACCCCAACCTCTGAGGGGACTGAGCAACACAACTAATGTCTGTCTCCTGCACCTGCACAGGCCCCGAGGGTCAGATGCATCTTACTGAGGGACGGGCATAGGCCTCTCACTCACAGAAGAAGAGAGCATCACAGTTATCTTTTTTTCTCTCCTACACTGCTTTTATTCATGTGAATCGCAGCACTCTGGAGGCTGAGGCAGGAGCACTGCATGTTTGAGCCTAGTCTGAGTAATTTAGTGACTTAGTGAACTGTGTCTCAAAAGGGCTAAAGACGTAGCTTAGTGCGAAGACCCCGAGTTCAATCCCTAGTACCACAAAATGGAAAAAAAAAGTTCTAAATTCCAAGCTCTTTCCACTGCCCTCAGGATGTGCGCATCCTACACCCTCCTCCTCAGTGGCTGCTTCTCTGAGACAGAGCAATAGCCAACCTGCGTCCATGCATGTGTAGTTGCACATGTCAATGTCCACTCCCCCCTCCTGGACAATTACATCACTTTACCTAATTCACTCACTCAGGTCTGTAAGACAGCCAGCCTGACCTTAACAGCAAAAGTTATCAAGGACAGCAGGAGAAAGGAAGACTGTAGGTTGACTACACTAAACAACTCTTCTCAGGTTACAGAGAAACAGTCCTAAGGGGTAATAACGGCAACTGAAAAGGAGTTTGCAAGTTGGCTCCATTTCTTTTGCTCTGAACTGATCATCTTGTGCTGGGATTAGACATATTCTATCTTAAATGGCTAAGAGATGCCTACAAGATAGATGGCTTTCTTAGCCACACAGATTGCCCCTCAATCAACTAATAAACTGCCATTCTCTTTATAAAGCAGTCTCGAATGAACCAGTAGTGTGGAGAATTAAAATTAATCAGGGCCTGGAAATAATTCAGGGAACAGATCAAACAAATTTCTAGACCTATACTAAAGACCAACTACCTAATCTGTGGAAATGAACAATACAATGTACTTGGAAATGATTATGAATTTTAAGACAGCAATAGCACAGTAAACACAGGCCCTTCTCAGTTCAGTGTTTTATGACTGCATAGGTCATGTGTTGGTCTATCTATTCCTAACTGACCAAAGCCTGATAATGACACAGTATCACAGGTTTGATAGCCCAGGAGTTCAGGCTGTGCTGCTGGCAAAACAGAGAACTAAACAAGCAATCCTCAGATTGAGTTTCCACAAAGACATCTGCAAACTGACACATCACTGAGTACAAAGGAACACATGGGAGGAACGGTCAGTCAGACGAGGGGAACAAGCACTTACTTCAAACCTCTCTTGCTCCATCCGGTGATGGTCCTCAAGTTGTTGTTCCAGGTAAGTCAAATTTCGAAACTTCTCTAGGTATATGTCATACTGCTTTTGCAATTCCTCTTCAATCTTCTCATATTCATCCATAAAGGCTGGCCTAAAATGATCAAATGAAATAAGAAGTGGAAGGTCAGTCACCAAATAGTACTCTGAAATCTATACTTAAGAGTTCCAGGGCCAGCCAAATAGCTCAGCAGATTAAACCTCTTGCAAGCAGGCGCAGGGGCTGGGAATTCAATCCTTGGGCCTCCCAAGCCGGCCCTGCCCCCAGGACGCATTGAGATGGCAATTGAGACTGGATGTGGTGACATGCGCCTGCAATCCCAGCTCTTGGGAGGCTGTGAATGGGTGGATCACTATAAGTCTGATCTAGTAGTGAGACCCTGAACATCCTGTAGACCCTTCCCTAATATACAAAAAATAAAAACAGAAAAAAGTTCCAAAGCAGAGTATTGTGGCGCTCACCTGTATAGTCCCAGGACTTGGGAGGCTGAGTGAGGCAACAGGGTCACTACTAGTTTGAGGTGGGCTGGGCTACACAGTGAATTTAAAGCCAGCCTGAATTAGATGGTGAGATACTGTCTCAGAAAAAAAAAAAAAAAAAAGAGTTCCAGACTTCATCGTGACTTTCTTTGGAAAGCTTTAAATATAAAAAGTCATTCACTCTGATAACTGCTTAAAACTCTCCTCTTCTATCACCCAATAAACATTTTTCAATCATAAATGTCTTCTTCCGGGGCCAGGGAGATGGCTCAGTAGAATAAGCGCTTCCCTGACAAGCAAAAGGGTCTGAGTTCAATCTTCGGTTCCGCCAAAAACAAAAACAAAGTATGAAGAATAATATAAAAATTACTCATAATCCCATAATCAAGCTTATGCATTTAATATACAACAAACACCTTTCTTTACTTTTTTATGCCTAGAGATAGGAATATATTTTTAAACAAAAGTTACAATATTATCATAAAATAAGGGTTTTAGGTTTTTTTGTATCAATATACCAGATTTAGCCAGGTGTGCTGGTGCACACCTGTAGTCCTAGAATTCTGGGAGGCTTAGAAAGGACTGCCAAGTTTGAACCCAGCCTGGGCAACCATGTGATTTAGTGAAATACTGTCTCAAAATAAAAGTTTTAAAGGCTGGTGATGTAGCTTAGTGCAAAGGCCTTGAGTTCAATATCTAGTGCCATATATATATATATATATATATATATATATATATATATATATATGATGTGTATACACATTCATATATACCAAGTTTCATAAGTACACATACAGCTAAGTAGAAATTTGTAACCTGTTAAATGAGAATAAATAAAATTTTTGAAAAGATTTTTTTCTATTAAAACAATCTAGGTCTCTAAACCAGAATGAATTTAAGCCTTCATGTCAAACCTATAAATGAGCTCAACAGAGCTGGGCATGGTGGTGCACATCTGTGATCCCAGCACTCAGGAGGCTGAGGCAGGAGGATCACTGAGAGTTCCAGAGCAGCCTGGGCTATAAAGTAAGCTCAAGGCCAGCCTGAACTGCATAGCAAGACCCTGTCTCAAAAAAAAAAAAAAAAAGAGCTCAACAGATGCAGTGGCTGTGATTTCAGAAGAAGCAGCAGCACAAGGTCAGCAGTGGAGGATGCCTTGTCACTCCTACAGCATTTCTACAGATGTATCTGACAGAAAAGCAAAGGAAAACAACCAGGAAGGAATAAATAAAAAAAACTATAGGAAAAAAAGGGAGAGAAATAGTGCCAAGAAACTCAGAGGCACCCTGCCAGGTGCGGTGGGCACTCCTGGAACCTCAGTCCTTGGGAGGCACAGGCAGGAGGACCACCGTGAATGCAAGGGCAATCTGGGCTACACAGTGAGACTCTGTCTCAAATTACACCCCCAAGAAGAAACTATGAGGCACATACATAAAAAGCTCCACTAACAGAGAGCCACTATTATCCAGCCCTGTTCCCTGAACATTTACTTTTGACAAGGTAAAGTCAGAAGAAAGATAAACTGCTAACAGGTGAGAAACTATCACAGCCTAAAATATCCAAGCAGGGGCCAGGGAGGTAACTCAGTGGTCTGAGCACCTGCCTGGCAAGTGCGAGGACTTGGGTTCAATCCCTGGTACCGCCTCTGTGCCAGCCCTGCACTGAGCTGGCCACTGAAACTGGGCCTAATGGCACACGCCTGTAATTCCAGTGCTGGGGAGGCTGAGACAGGAGGATCACTATGAGTCTGAGCTGCATAGAAGACCTTGTACCAAATACATAAATAAGATAAATAAAAATAAAAATAAAATGTCTAAGCACTGGGCGTGATAATCCCAGTACTGGGGAAGCTGAGGCAGGAGGATCATCACGAGTTTAAGGCCAGTCTGAGCTACATAGTGAGTTTAAGGCCAGCCTGAATTATATAATGAGACCCTACGGGTTACAAAAAACCCGTAACAACCAACTAAAATGTCTAAAATTTCCTCAAACCAAGAGATGGGAGTAGTATGGTACCAAACTTTTAGCACTAAATTATAGCACAATCCTAGGAGATCAAGCCTGACAGAATTCCCACCATCTGAATGTACTTCCTCTGCCTTGCATCATGAGAGGCCATGAGAGTGTAAAGGCTGCTCCACAATAAAGCCATGATCTAGAAACATGGAAAGCAATGAAGAGCCTGCGTGAAGTAGTCTACCTGCCAGGACACTGAAGCGTCTCCCTATCCACGCTTTTCTCAGTGCCTGAAAAACTAGCATCCCTGTGTTGGGCTTCACACCTAGACGCTCCTCAAGCCTCACATACTCACAGCAAGGCTCTGGAGGCAACTGGATCAGGTGGGCATCAGCTCAGCCAGCTAATGAGTTTACAGCTACATGCCCCAGTAGGAAGTGGGGCATGGTCAAAAGAGCTAGGTCAGTGGGGCCGGGACTGGAAGCGATGGTGGCTCTTCCTTTACTCTCTGTTTCTCTGAGGCAAGCAGCTTTCCCAGGCATGCCCTCTGCCATGCTGTCCTGTCTTGGAGCCAGATGAACCTTTCTTCCCTTAAATTGCAGACATTAGATATTGTGTCTCAGCAATGAGAACAAGTAAGACCCACACTTAGATCTGCTCAGTCTTTGTTTTAACTCTCAGTGGCCCCTTTCTACTCACTTATTCCACTGGACTCAAGAATTCCAGCCTACCTAACACTCTGCAGAGTCTGGAGTCGCTTCCGGTTTCTTTCCAGTTCTAATTTTCGCTTTTCAATTTTGGCTTCTAAGTTGGCTTCATCAGAGGCCACATTATTGAGCAGGTCCTTGGTCTTCTGAACCTGTAACTACATTGAATAAGAAATAGTGAGACAATGTGTCAATGAGGACCACTATCCTACTCTGAAGATAGCAACTTCCCAACTGTTTAGGCATAGCAACGTCACACACAAAGCAAACAAATATACAAACACCACGCCCCTCCCCCGGCCATGCTTTATTTAAGCAACTCTTTCCAGGGAAAACAACATACAGATCAAGAAAAGAATTATTATTTTCATTAAAAAGTAGGTGCTTCTGCCCAAGGAAACACACAGGTGGAGAGAAGAGTGTGTGGATCTGGATGGAGAGACCTGGGACCTCGGTGCAGGTGCCTGGCAGTATGGGTGCCCAGCACTCTGTATTGCTTCTCTGCTGACAAGCATTCAGACTGCTCTTCTGCTCACAGTATCTACTTATAGAACATGAACACAAAAGTACAGCTCTACTCAGAAGGTGTCACACAGAAACCAGAGAGAAACCCTAAGTCTCTCTGCCTTAACCTGCTGCTCGGTAAGAGGGCAGGGGCAAAAGACCACTAATGATAACCACAGCCCATCTTAGGCTCTTCTGACAAGGGCAAGTTTGCTTGAAGTGGGTCTAGTGAGAGCAATTACTCATGCTGTCTAGGAAGTTGGCCAGGCTGAGCTCTTTGCAATGCAGAGAGTCAATGAGCTGTGGTAGGAATCTGGAATACACACTGTCACCACTCTCATTCAATATAGTTCTGATTCTATTCCTTTTTTATTGGTTCCAGGAATTGAACTCAGGGCCCTGCGCTTGCCAGGCAGGCACTGTGTTGCTGAGCTACATCTCCAGCCCCCCAAAATAGTCCTGGAAACATTAGCCAGAGCAGTTAGACAGTGAATTAAAAATAATAAGAACAGGACAGGAAGAAGTTAAATTGTCATTACCTGCAGATGACATGGTACTCTATATACCCAAGAACTCCACTGAAAGACTTCTAGATTTAATAATCAAATTCAGTAGCATAGTTGGATACAAAGTCAACACTCAAAAATCTATAGCACTCCTGTACATAAACAAATGCACTGAGAGAAAAATTAAGAAAACAATACCCTCCATAATAGCATCAATAAAAATGGAACTTGGGAGGTTGAGGTAGGAGGATTGTTGTAAGTTCAAGACCAGTGTGGGCTATAAAGTAAGCTCAAGGCCAGCCTGAACTGCATAGTGGGACCCTGTCTCAAAAGACAAAAACATAAAATCAAATAAAAATATAAATGAAATACTTAAGAATCAATCTAATGAAGGAAGTAAAAGAAAACTACAGTATCCTGAAAAATGAAATCAAAGAGGATATCAGAAAATGGAACATAGATATCCTTTACTCTTAGGTAAGAAGTATCAATATAATGAAAATGGCCTTATTTCCAAAATTGTTATACAGATTTAGCAAATCTTGATCAAAATACAAGTGGCATACCTCATAGAACTAGAGAAAACATTCCTAAAATTCATTTGGCGCCATAGGAAACCTACAATAGCAAAAACAACTCTGGGCAACAAAAGCAAGTCAGGGACATCACAATCCCTCACTTGAAATTATACTACAAACTACAGCTATAAAGACAAGTTAGGGCCGGGGAGATGGCTCAGTAGAATAAGCGCTTGCCTGGCAAGCACACGGGTCTGAGTTCAATGCCTGGTTCCAAAGGAAAAAAAAAAAAAAAAAAGAAACCACAGAATAGCACTGGCCAAACAAAAGACTCAAGGACCAAGTGAACAGATTAGAAAATTCAGACACAGACCCAGTCCTAGCCAGGGTCCGGTGAGTTTGTGGAGAGCTTCCTGCTACCCTGCGCTGGCAGGACCAGTCCCAGCCCAGGCGCAGCGTGGGCCGGACCCTC